CCCTGCGGAGGGGTTCGAACAGAGTTTGGGGACGCTGGAGGAGGTTAAAGATTGGTACTGTATGGAGGATTATACTCCCGCTAGGGATCACTTCACTAAACATTTCAAACAGATGTTCCCCTCAATAGTTCCCGTCTCAGTGCAGCTAGACCACTGTGTCATATCACTCACTAAAACGGGTAAACAGTATATTGGGTTTGATTCTGAAAATGTTCTGGTGGCGGCTGGCGGCAATGGGGCTTCGGCAAAAATGGGACTTGAGATTGGGAAAATTTGTGCCAATAGCATTGTGAAGGGGGAATGGGATTACGATTTAGATGAGATTGATTTTAGAATTGCTTACAAAAAGTAAATTTGTTTGAAAGTGGAATACTTACTTCGTTACTTCGTTGAGTTCATCCGTGGAGCCGGAAGGGTCATCAGATATCTGACCACCTGGATGGCGAGTAGTCGACCAGTGAGTTTGACCAACTGCAGCTGTAGCCGGCGACCGGAGGGTTGTCCGGTATCAAAGCAAGAAAGTTCGACAAACTACACTTAAACATGTCAAAAGATGAATCAGCCTTTACTGTGTGAGGCACTTTGTTCCACAGCTTCGGTCCTTGAACTGCAAAAGACCTGTCGTACAGTGACTGGTTGCGTAAGGAACTTGACTTTGACAATGAGGGTATGACAGCTACATCCCCGTGTCTTGGGGTCACCTTGAATCTGATATCACAGCAGTTTGGTACCACATTATGGAGAATCTTCCACATCATCAGGATGATATACCTCTCCCGTCTGCGCTGTAGAGACATCAATTTAAGCTGTACGAGTCTTTCCCAATAGTTGAGATGTTGAAGACCGCCAATACGACTGGTGAAAGTTCTTTGCACCCCCTCTATCAGCTGTATTTCAGTCACCTTGGTAGGGCTCCAGAGTGGGCAGCAATACTCTAGTAAGCTTCTTACTAGTGACTTGTAGAGAGTAATCATTACGGTCTTGTCGCGAGTTTTGAACACACTGAATACCCAAGATAGTGTGCTCCTTGCTTTGGGTACCATGTTGCCGATGTGTGTCGACCAGCTAAGATCACTTGAAACCATAACTCCAAGATCTCGGACGTTTTCGACAGGATAAAGTATGTCCTGACTGGATACTTTGTAACGCAGTGTTTCGGCAAAGAAGGGTAGTTCGGGGAATGAGCTCTTACTGTTATGGAGGTGATTTAACAGCTCGAACTTCTGCTCGTGAAGCTTCATGTTGTTGCTACGTGACCAGTCAAGAATCTTATAGATATCTTCTTGTAACAACTGACAGTCTTCAAAACAGCCAATCTGTTTGGAGACTCTAGTATCATCGGCGAAAAAACTCACCCTAGATGAGTCCACTACTTGTTCTAGATCATTGATGAACAAGATAAAGAGAAGCGGCCCCAAAACGCTTCCCTGGGGAACACCACTTAAAACCTTTGCGATAACCGAGTGAACTCCATTAAGCACCACGACTTGTTCGCGATCAAAGAGAAAGGACTTTATCCACTCTATGAGCTTGCCATGAAACCCATATTTTTTCAGCTTGTGAATGAGAAGATTTAAGTCGACTTTATCGAACGCCTTAGCGTAATCCAGATATATAGAATCTGTATCTTCACCACGAGTAAACCCTTCGTAGATGTCGTCAAAATGGCCGAGCATTTGAGTCAAGCAGCTCCTATTCGCTCTGAAACCATGCTGCTTATCGGTCAAGAGACTGTTGGCTTCCAAATACTCCACCATATGTTTCCTTACCACTCTTTCATACACTTTTACAACGTGGGAGGTCAAAGTGACAGGTCTGTAGTTTCCAGCTTCACATCTACTGCCTTTCTTGAATAGTGGCGAAACATAACCCGTCTTGTAGAAGCTTGGCACTATACCAGATGACATGGACTCTGACCACATAAGATAAATCGGGACACTAAGGCTGGTAGCACACCTTTTGAGAAGAATAGCTGGTATTCCATCGGGTCCAGGGGCAGAGTCTAGCTTAATTTCAGATATAGCTTCCATGATACTATCAGGTGTTAACACAATGTCATTGTCTCTACTGATAAGGGGTGGTACCGCAAATGTAGGGACTGCTGTGTCGGGACAGGTAGGGTCGCTGAAAACGGAGCAGAACTGTTGTTGAAGGATGTTGGCGAGTTCTTTCCGTTCAGTGACTAGTTCCTTATTGTCGTTCAGGAGGGTAGAGATGTTGTGTTTCACTTTGGAGAATGATTTGGCATAGGAGAAGAAATATTTGGGGTTACTTTTGATCCGCTCCACCGCTCTCCTCTCACCTTGGTCGAGATGGTTGACTATGGCCTCCTTTATCTCATAGCACACCAGCCCGATCTCGTCTTCAAGTTTCTTGATTCGGGCATTGTCACCGGCGCACCTTGCTGCGGAAAGACGAGTTTTAAGCTTAGACTTCCGTCTTCTGAGAGAGTTGTAGAGCTTAGGCTTGCCTGATGGAGGTCGTTTCTTGGGAATGTTCGATATGCACGTGTTTAGTACTTTATCCGTGAACTTGGCAGGAAATTCCTCGAACGTACCAGCATCTCTCAGTTCATCCCAATCAATAGCTTCAAAAACCTTATTCAGTCGGGGAAAATCAGCTTGATTGAAATCTAATGCTCGAAAGTTCATTTCATCAAGATATGTAGCATGGGCCTCCTCCATCACACCAGGGTTGAAGGAGAGTAGGACGCTGACCATATCGTGATCAGATATATCGGTTGCTTCAGTTTTAACATCCGATATCAGTCGGTCATTGTTACAGAAAACCAGGTCCAAAATGTTGTTCCCTCTAGTAGGCACGTTGACCATTTGACTGAGAAGGTAGGTTGACATAAAGTTTAACAAGCGTTGGGCCGATAAATTTGATTCTGATGTCCCACCGCTGTGGATCTGAAGCGATCCCCAGTCAACCTGAGGTAGGTTGAAATCACCTGTTATGAACAACTCATAATCGTTGTCAAGGTTTTCGATAGCGTGCCCCAAGTGATCCAAAAGCTTTGAGAAGCTTGATAGGCTCGCATCAGGGGGTCTGTAGATGACTGCCACCAATAGCTTTGCAGATGGGTAAACATTGCACAGCCCCTGACAAGTACCGTCGTCGTAAAACTCTGAAGCTGACACTGGGAGTAGTCTAATTATCACTGTCCATTTATTTAGAATAGTGTATTAGCTGAACTGTTTGATAATTAGTTTAGAAAACAATCCAACGTATTTTTTTTTACGGTCAAAAATCCAACTTAATCACTCGCCTATGATTCTTAAGTTTTTACAGTCTATTATTGATAGTAGCATCATTAGATGTATTCTTAATGTTTTTACAGAAGGGCCCTGAACATTTACATAATATGATATTGATAGTAGCATCATTAGATGTATTCTTAATGTTTTTACAGAAGGGCCCTGAACATTTACATAATATGATATTGATAGTAGCATCATTAGATGTATTCTTAATGTTTTTACAGAAGGGCCCTGAACATTTACATAATATGATATTGATAGTAGCATCATTAGATGTATTCTCGATGTTGATTCCAAAACGTGTCGCCGTCACGTCGATTTGTGGTTTGGTTGTAGACGTACCACTTCATATTTTGCGCGGTTTTGTTTCGTGTTAACAATGCGCAATGTCACGTCATATAACTATTGTATCGTATGCCAACTTTATTGACTGTTATATAATATTCTGTCTCATCTTAGTTATTATTTGAATCTAACATAAACTAACAAATTTTGATGCTTACTCGACACATCTTCACTCTACAGCACCATCGACTATCGAGCCTTTGATTTGATTTAACTATAAGATACTTTAAAAGCATGCCGCAATCTTATTTGCTCATTGAATGTAAATGTAAAGTAACATCTGTTTTAATTATGTATTCGCTGTTTGAATTTCAATGTGATTTTAACCTTGTGCAAATTGCATGTTGATGTTTTCATTGCATTTTTTGGGATTTTTAACATCATCCTGAATTTTGGCAATTTTAGTGACCTGTAGTTAACTAAGCTAATCCAGTTATCGATCTGACCTTCTCTATAGACTAGATTTTACTGCTTTTAGCAAAATTGAATGTCAAAAACTACGGTTTTTGGTACTTACTAGTTTATGGTTAACCTATGATATGCCCCCTAAAATGTCATTTTTTTCTCCCCTAAAATGTCAAATTTTTATTTTGTTCGCATGGTGTGCGATAATAGCTCTTGTTTTGGCACTTGTTAATTATTAACATCAACTATTAACGAAATGTGAGTATGCATTGCATCTTAGGAAAAGCCCGAGTAATTTGATCAGGTTAAAATGACATTTTAGGGGGGATAATTAGACATTTTAGGGTATGTTTATTGCAATTAATAAAATAAAACTAATTCCTTGAGCTGCCAAAGCTTTCCAATATTACCATTAGATGCTAAATATAATGTTTAATAGGCTGGTACCTCCATTTTATGGTGCTTGTAGTCTCAAAGCCAGAATCTGATAAAATGACCTTTTAGGGGGCGGCCAGGTGACATTTTAGGGGAGGGTAGTAATATTGAGTAATATATAACTTTCCATATCTCCAGTCATATGTACAAAGTTGCTAAAATATGTAAATATCACTATCCTAGACCAAAACTGAGTTAATATTAATGAATTCCAGAGTTATAAAATTGTGCGCTTTTTTTCAAAAGTAAAAAATTCGTACAAAGTGAAAAAAATGCCCTTATGGCATCATTTAGATTCAATTTCAGGATGTGGCAGGGTCTGAATGATATTTTTTTATGTTACAAATGATTAGGTAAGATACTTTCTAAGAAGATGGGATCCAATCAATCAAGAGTGGCGTTTTAGGGGTGGGTGACATTTTAGGGGCGGTTTACCCGTAATGTAAAACTGAAAAGTCAAAAATAATGCAACTATGTGCTTTTAAATTAGTACTTTAAAAAAGTAATGTAAATTGTAAAATAAAATTTATTTAAATTTCTTATTAAAAAAAACATCATATCAGTTAAAAATGGTAAGTAATAATATACACCTTTTAAAAAAATAATCACACCCCGCAAAACATTTATTTTTTAAATTTCAAAATAAATCTCTTAATTTCTCGGTGAATGCCGATTTATAAAAACGTTCAGAATGATTTAAACTTATCTCTCAAAAAAATCCGATTCCATTTATCAATCGGTTGCATTTCTTAAAATGTTAAAAGGGATACCGGTTCTACTGCTCGGTACGGTGTACAATGTTTACCATCTTCAGTGGTAGGTTGATACTATTACTAGTCAAATTGTTCATTAAGATAGCTTGAAATGTCTGGTTACAGCAGTATCTCACAGTGGCGGAGGTCCGTGTCTTTTCTCGTGATCTTCGTTTCAATATCATGAGGCTCGTTCCTGGATTCTGAAATGGTCGAGTGACAAAAATCTGTTACTATGTAGTTTTTGGTACACACCACATTTCGTGTTCGGAACGTAAAAGTAGAAATGATCACATTTCATGAAATAATAATTATTGAACAGTTTGTATGTTGTAGACAAATTTAAACAAAAAGAATATTTTTCACTTCTTGTACTTACTATTCACAGCTGCCTAAAAAGGTTTACAAAGGGTTCACATTTTGTTTTGTCAGTTAAAAGGTTCGTTCCTACTGAGTAAGGGTCTGAAATAAATTGTTATAATATTATGATATAATAGCAATACATGCAGATTTATGAAAACGTTTAAAATGATTAATTCGGTTCCATTTATCAATCGGTTGCATTTCTTAAAATGTTAAAAGGGACACCGGTTCTACTGTTCGGTACGGTGTACAATGTTTACCATTTTCAGTGGTAGGTTGATACTATTACTAGTCAAATTGTTCATTAAGAAAGCTTAAAATGTCTGGTTACAGCAGTATCTCACAATGGCGGAGGTCTGTGTCTTTTCTCGAGATCTTCGTTTCAATATCATGAGGCTCGTTCATGGATTCTGAAAAGGTAGAGTGACAAAAATCTGGTATTATATATATAAAAGTCTTTGGTAAACACCACAGTTCGTGTTTGGAACGTAAAAGTAGAAATGATCACATTTCATGAAGTAATGATTATTGAACAGTTTGTAGAAACATTCAAACGAGAAGAATATTTTTCACTTCTTGTACTTACTATTCACAGCTGCCTAAAAAGGTTTACAAAGGCTTCACATTTTGTTTTGTCAGTTGAAAGGTTTGTTCCTACTGAGTAAGGGTCTGAAATAAATTGTTATAATATTATGATATAATAGCAATACATGCAGATTTATGAAAACGTTTAAAGTGATTAATCCGATTCCATTTATCAATCGGTTGCATTTATTAAAATGTTAAAAGGGATACCGGTTCTACTGTTCGGTACGTGTACAATGTTTACCATCTTCAGTGGTAGGTTGATACTATTACTAGTCAAATTGTTCATTAAGATAGCTTAAAATGTCTGGTTACAGCAGTATCTCACAGTGGCGGAGGTCCGTGTCTTTTCTCGATATCTTCGTTTCAATATCATGAGGCTCGTTCCTGGATTCTGAAATGGCCGAGTGACAGAGAAAAATCTGTTATTATGTAGTTTTTGGTAAACACCACATTTCGTGTTCGGAACGTAAAAGTAGAAATGATCACATTTCATGAAATAATAATTATTGAACAGTTTGTATGTTGTAGACAATTTAAACAAGAAGAATATTTTTCACTTCTTGTACTTACTATTCACAGCTGCCTAAAAAGGTTTACAAAGGGTTCACATTTTGTTTTGTCAGTTGAAAGGTTCGTTCCTACTGAGTAAGGGTCTGAAATAAATTGTTATAATATTATGATATAATAGCAATACTTGCAGATTTATGAAAACGTTTAAAATGATTAATCCGGTTCCATTTATCAATCGGTTGCATTTCTTAAAATGTTAAAAGGGACACCGGTTCTACTGTTCGGTACGGTGTACAATGTTTACCATTTTCAGTGGTAGGTTGATACTATTACTAGTCAAATTGTTCATTAAGAAAGCTTAAAATGTCTGGTTACAGCAGTATCTCACAGTGGCGGAGGTCTGTGTCTTTTCTCGAGATCTTCGTTTCAATATCATGAGGCTCGTTCATGGATTCTGAAATGGTAGAGTGACAAAAATCTGGTATTATGTTACATAATACCACATAATTTATGTATATAAAAGTCTTTGGTAAACACCACAGTTCGTGTTTGGAAAGTAAAAGTAGAAATGATCACATTTCATGAAATAATGATTATTGAACAGTTTGTAGAAAAATTTAAACGAGAAGAATATTTTTCACTTCTTGTACTTACTATTACGGCCAGGTAGCGCAGTTGGTTAGCCAGCTTTGCAATCGTGAGGTTGCGGGTTCAAATCCCACTGCCTGCCTGGTCGTGGGGTGAGTGTCGTTGACATTCAGCTAAGGATCGTGAGTGGTCTATGCAGCCCCCCGGTCTACTCAGCCGAATACTCGAGAAATCGGGTGTAAGGGTTAAATGAGGAGCTGCACATTGCAGCAAAGTCTCGGGCGAAGAAAGTATGGTACACACTACCTTAACCGTCACTGGCTAAAAACAAATCCTTCGGCTTCCTGTAATTGGCTGGTTGTACTTGTGTAACAATATGGCTGTTGGAATACTCCGAAGTAAAATAAGTGTCTAGATAAAAAAAAATTAAAAAAAAAAAAAAATTCACAGCTGCCTAAAAAGGTTTACAAAGGGTTCACATTTTGTTTTTGTTTTGTCAGTTGAAAGGTCCCTTCCTACTGAGTAAGGGTCTGAAATAAATTGGGTTCTTTTGCGGTAGTCAAAACGCGACAACTAGCGCTGGATGGCGACAACTAGCGCTGGATAGCGACAATTATCGAACATTTATATTTTGCGCTGGATAGCGTTATCCAGCGCTGGATAGCGACAACTAGCGCTGGATGGCGACAACTAGCGCTAGTTGTCGCGTTTTGACTATCGCAAAAGAACCAATTGGGTTCTATTGCGATAGTCAAAACGCGACAACTAGCGCTGGATAACGCTATACAGCGCAAAATATAAATGTTCGATAATTGTCGCTATCCAGCACTAGTTGTCGCTATCCAGCGCTAGTTATCGAACTGTTTTCTGCGATGGCCAGTTGCGCTGGCCATCGCAAACTATCGGGCGCTAGCCAGCGCTAAGCGATAGCCAGCGAAAAATGTTTGCGATATTACTCGTCAGCTAGCGCTGGCCAGCGCTATCCAGCGCTAGCCAGCGCTGTCCAGCGCTTGATAGCGACAACTAGCGCTGGATGGCGACAACTAGCGCTGGATAGCAAGTTGTCGCGTTTTGACTATCGCAAAAGAACCATAAATTGTCAAAATATTATGATATAATTATAATAGCAATACATGCAGATTTATGAAAAAGTTTCAATATCATGAGGCTCGTTCATGGATTCTGAAATGGTAGAGTGACAAAAATCTGGTATTATATATATCTAAAGTCACTATTGTGACGGTACATTAGAACTAGACAGAAACAAAGTGTGAAGGGCCTGAACGGAACCCCTCGGTTTCAGTTCCTTGTTTAACACTGCCGTACAGCAAGGACATCCACCGGGTTCTCCAAGGATGGGCACATATATAACAGTTTTTGGTAAACACCACAGTTCGTGCTTGGAACGTAAAAGTAGAAATGATCACATTTCGGCAAGTTTCCATAAACGATATTTTATGATCGGCGCCGATAATCGCTTATTGAGCGCTTTTTCGGCGCTTTTTTAAAAAAAAACCGTTTACAATCGCTTTTTTTACGATTATAAACGGTTCAAAAAAAATCGCTTATAATCGACTATAATTGGTGTCATAATTCAAAAAAGCGCTTTTTTGAATTTAAAAGCGCTTATAAGCGCTTTTAAGCGCTTACTAGCGTCGCTGAGCGATTTGAAAGCGGTTTTCCAGTAGGATTGGCGCCAAAAACGGGTGGATAAGCGGTTGGCCGGATAAGCGATTCGTAGGCGCTTTTTTGAACCATTTATAAGCGATTATAAGCGCTTATAATTGGGGTGCAATTTAGCTGTTTGTAAAGCGCAAATAAAGCGCTTATAAGCGCTTTTAAAATTGAGTCAGGAAAACGCTATATTACATCTTATAACCGCTTATAATCGATTATAAGCGTTTTTTTAGAAATCGCTTATAACGGCTAATTCATCGCTATTTCACCGCTTTTACCGCTTTTCCTATCATCCATGGCCAGGTGAGCAGGAATTAAAAAGCGCTTATAACACGCTTTTTCGATGCTGCCCCTAGCCTGGTCGGAACGGGGTAGTGCCCGGAATTTAAAAGCGATTTCTCAATTCCCCTTAACCTGGTTGGAACTTTCATGTGCTTTTCTGAGCAACCTGGGGTGCACCGGCAGAGTAAGGATTTAAAAGCGCTTATAGGCGCTTATGATCGCTTTTCTACCACTTTTCCTATCACCCATGGCATGGGTTGGCAAGAATTATAAAGCGCTTATAAGCGTTTTTCAATGCTGCCCCTTACCTGGTCGGAACGGGGGAGTGCCCGGAATAAAAAAGCGCTCATAAGCGCTTTTTAAATGCTGCCCCTAACCTGGTCGGAACTGGAAATCAGAGTGCCCGCTTATAAGTGCTTTTCTGAGCAACCTGGGGTGCACCGGCAGAGTCAGGATTAAAAAGCGCTTATGATCGCTTTTCTACCGCTTTTCCTATCACCCATGGCCTCATGGCCTGGTTGGCAAGAATTATAAAGCGCTTATAAGCGTTTTTTCAATGCTGCCCCTAACCTGTTCGGAACGGGGGTGTGCCCGGAATTAAAAAGCGCTTATAAACGATTTCTCAATTCTCTTCAACCTGGTCGGAACTGGAGAGTGCCCACTTGCATGTGCTTTTTTGAGCAACCTGGGGTGCACCGGCAGAGTCAGGATTTAAAAGCGCTTATAGGCGCTTATGATTGCTTTTCTACCGCTTTTCCCATCACCCATGGCCTGGTTGGCAAGAATTATAAAGCGCTTATAAGTGTTTTTTCAATGCTGCCCCTAACCTGGTCGGAACGGGGGAGTGCCTGGAATTAATAAGCGCTTATAAGCGATTTCTGAACTCCCCTTAACCTGGTCGGAACTAGAAATCAGAGTGCCCGCTTATAAGTGCTTTTCTGTGCAACCTGGGGTGCACCGGCAGAGTCAGGATTTAAAAGCGCTTTTTTTTTCTTTTTTTTTTAGAGAGGCTGGGCCAAGATAGCCCACGAGAGGATAGCATTAAGATGCTCTGCCTACCTCTGGGGTGTGGCAACCTTGGGGAAGGTTGCCGGTGAGATCAGAGTGATTGGTGGAGGATGGTGTAAGATGTTATATGAGTCAAAATGATACGCTTAAATGCCAGCTGGGTTTGGAAAAGTAAAACGAGACGAGACAGCATATGAGATAATACTTTAAGTCACCCCGGTCTGATCCAGCTCTTCCGGCACAATTAAGCGTTTGGTGCGGTTTGCGAAATTGACAATTGTGGTGATGTGTTGGTTGTCGAATATGTCATTGACAGAGAGGTAGTAGTCCTGGAAATATTGACCTCTAATTTGGGCAATAGCCGGACACTGTCCAAGGAAGTGTGAGACAGTTTCCTCTCCGTCCCCGCACATAGGACATTCATGTGCTTTTCTGAGCAACCTGGGGTGCACCGGCAGAGTAAGGATTTAAAAGCGCTTATTATAAGCGCTTATGATCGCTTTTCTACCGCTTTTCCCATTACCCATGGCCTGGTTGGCAAGAATTTTAAGCGCTTTTTCAATGCTACCCCTAACCTGGTCGGAACGGGGGAGTGCCTCGAATTAATATGCGCTTATAAGCGATTTCTGAATTCCCCTTAACCTGGTCGGAACTGGAAATCAGAGTGCCCGCTTATAAGTTCTTTTCTGTGCAACCTGGGGTGCACCGGCAGAGTCAGGATTTAAAAGCGCTTATAGGCGCTTATGATCGCTTTTCTACCGCTTTTCCTATCGCCCATGGCCTGGTTGGCAGGAATTAGAAAGCGCTTATAAGCGCTTTTTCAATGCTGCCACTAACCTGGTCGCAACGGGGGAGTGCCCGGAATTAAAAGGCGCTTATAAGCACTTTTTCAATGCTGCCCCTAACCTGGTCGCAACGGGGGAGTGCCCGGAATTAAAAGGCGCTTATAAGCACTTTTTCAATGCTGCCCCTAACCTGGTCGGAACTGGACAGTGCCCACTCGTATGTGCTTTTCTGAGCAAACTGGGGTGCACCGGCAGAGTCAGGATTTAAAAGCGCTTATAGGCGCTTATGATCGCTTATCTACCGCTTTTCCCATCACCCATGGGCACCTAAGGATTTGAAAAGCGGTTATAAGTTATAAGCGATTACAATCACTTTTTATTGCTGGTTTTTACCGATTTATCTATCATTTATCAACATGGATTTAAACATAGTTGTTTGACTGGCGATCTAGAAGCCAAGCAAGAAGGCTAAGTGCACGGCGCGGCAAAGTTCTCCGACAATAATTGTCAGAAATTGTAAAGCGCTTGCAAGCGTTTATTTATATGTTGTTAATGCCAATGGTGGTGGTTGTCCTGGTGGCGGTCGATGCGCGCTGCGTCATCAGTCATACACACTTCACATTCAGAACTTGCAAAAGAAAAATATAGTATATGAAACTAAATTATTGCGCTGGGCCACGCTCAGTCTGTCAACGAGTATGACAGGCCTGTTTATGCCATTCCAAGAAATCTCTAGTCGGGCTGAGCGAATCACGACGTCTGAAAAAAGTGCGGTGCTCATTGAAAGTTAGTGTGTGCGTGACCAGCATTCACGTACTTGTTCATAATCAATCGTGGACATAAAAACAAGTGCACGCTGAGTACCAATAGGAAAAAAGTAATGTATATATACGCTAGTAAAGCCGTGCGCGTGCAGGCGTGCTGAGATAGCTTGTAAAATTTGGTTATTAGATAGTAAAACTGCAACAAATAAACCGCGCCAGATTGCGCGTTTGAATCGCTCCTACGAAATTATCGCTCGCCCAAATTTTAAGAAAATTCTTGTGAAAAGGCCTTTGGGTATGACATTGATCTAAATCGGTGTATTTTTTGGACGCTGATCCCGAATCACCCGCCATGACGTAGGGTAAAAATATTTCCCTGGAGAGTTACATGAGCAAAAACCGTTTTAGTCACGTGACAGGCTAGTAAAACATGATTTCGATTGTTTAGGGCTCATGTTAGGGTTTGGGTTAAGGTACGCGGGTTATGGATAGCTTTGGGGTTATGGTTGGGATTAGGGTTTATGTAAAATTGTTTTGTACGGCTGCAAAACCATAAAAACCAAGGTCACATGAAATTTTCGGGCGAGCGAATTAGCAAGAGCCGGTCGCGGTTTTTATACAAAAATAAGCGTACACATGATATACAATGCAATAAAGCTAAGAGTTTCTGCATGTTCGATTATTTTGCACTTAACTTAACCATGTGCCTTCGTGCTGCCGTTGCTCTATCCAGATAGGTAGTGCGCTATCAACAGTGAGCCGCGCGTGCCGACTGTATAGTAGGATAGTTTTTAGCGCTAATTTTGGCCAGCACAATTTTCTTCAAACAAATATGTATTGAGTATCCTTCCCGACGCGACCTCCGATTGCAACAAAAATTGGTGAGCTCACTCTGTACTCATAGACTTACGAGGAAAGTGTCCGAAATAATACGACAAAAATCAACGAATTTGGTCAAATTACGCGACTTTTACATCTACTTTTGCTCCAAAAGCCGCGCACCATCAAATATGGCACCCTTCACCTAACCATGTGCTTTCGCGCCACTTCGGGCGCGCTTGTTTCACAAGTACGTCAAGAAGTGAGTGGGCGCGCGCTACTGCAAGCGCAAGGGCTCTGGATAGAGCAAATGGCACCCAGCTAGTGAGGCGAAACTCACTGATCTTTCCAAAAAGGTATGACAAATTTGGTATTGTGAAAATTCTCACAGTCTCTAGAAAATAGTGTTACAAAAAATTTTTTAAATCTGAGCAAGTTTATTTTATCGTCCACCCCTAATCCAGAGCCGTTGAGCTTTGATCTAGCCGCCAACCCTCCATCGATTTTCTTCGAAGTAGCACGCGCCGCTTTCTTCTCGAAGTCGATGGCAAGTGCTACGAAGTAGCGCGCGCCGGGCCAGATCATTAACAATGGTCAACGTCGACGAGTCCAACTCGGCGCGCGCCCTGGTAGGTTATTAACCTACAAGGACGCTTCAATTCCGAATCATCCCTCATGGCTGTATTATATATAGTTATAACCATAAGTTTGTGTGTTTATAACCATACAAGACGTATTTATACCATGCAAAACGTATTTATAAGCATGCAAGACACTTAATTGTCGCCGGTCTAATTGCATTGGCACCCTTCACCTACCATGGCTTCGGCCACTTTCGGGCGCTTGTATTCACAAGTACGCAAGAGTGTATGCGACGCTACTGTCAACTTAAGCTCTGGATAAATGCACCGCAGTGCGAATCACTGTCTTCCAAAAGGTATAAAATTAGGTGATTGTGAAATTTCACATCCTAGAATAGTGTTACAAAAAATTTTAAATCTGAGCAAGTTTATTTATCGTCACCCCTAACCGAGACGATATGAGCTTGAATAATAGCCGCCAAACCCTCCATCGATTTCTTCGAGTAGTACGCCGCTTTCTTCTCTAGTCGAGGCAATTGCTCGAAGTAGCCGCCGGGCCAATCATAACAATGGTCACGTCGACGGTCCAACTCGGCGCGCGCATGTAGGTTATATCCTACAAGACGTATCAATTCCGAATCATCCCTCAGCTGTAATATATCAAGTTATAACATAAGTTGTGTGTTTTAACCAACAAACGTATTTATACCATGCAAAACTATATTTGTGATAAATATTTTAAGAGTATCACTTGACCATTGCATGTTACATGTTATTGGTCTGGCCCGACATAGCACGTGCCATCGTGGCATTTCGAGAAGAAAGCGGCGCGCGCTACTTTAGACGAGTAACATCCGTCAATTAAGAGTATCACCTGTTAACCATGGGTATTGGGTCTATTTGTATCATTCAGGTCGCGTCGTGACATAGTCATAAGTAAATTAAACAATTGCGCGGTAATCGTGAATCGGTAAACAAGCTGATATGCCCATTTTACAGCATGAACTAACATGAGACAAAATAAAATATTGACTCACAATGCGATGTCAATCTTTCAATTCACAGCTTGGCGAGGCCCAGTCTAGTGGTGAATTTTTACCAAACTAGCGAAGCGCAATGTTGAATGTGATTGCGACAATTGACGGGTGACACTCGTAAAATATTTGCTCCATATATTGGAGTCCAACTCGGCTTTTACTAAATTTGCTCGCCCAAAAATTTCACGTGACTTTGGTTTTTATGGTTTTGCAGCCGTACAAAACGGTTTTACATAAATCCTAATCCCAACCCTAACCCTAACCATAACCCCAAAGTTAACCATAACCCTTTCCACAAGCCTAACCCTAACCGGAACCCGGGCCCTAAACAATCGAATTCGTATTTTACTAGCCTGTCACGTGACCAAAACGGTTTTTTGCCCATAACTCTCCAGGGAAGCATTTTAACCCTACGTTATGGGGGGTGATTCGGAATCAGCGTCCAAAAATACACCGATATAGATCACTTTCATGCCCCAAAGGGCCTTTTCACAAGAATTTCCTTAAAATTTGGGCGAGCGATTTAGTAGAAGCGGTAGAAAAGCGATCATAAGCGCCTATAAGCGCTTTTAAATCCTGATTCTGCCGGTGACCCCAGGTTGCACAGAAAAGCACTTATAACTATAAGCGGGCACACTGATTTCCAGTTCTGACCAGGTTAAGGGGAATTGAGAAATCGCTTATAAGCGCAGCATTAAAAAAGCGCTAATGAGCGCTTTTTAATTCCGGGCACTCCCCCGTTCCGACCAGGTTAGTGGCAGCATTGAAAAAGCGCTTATAAGCGCTTTCTAATTCTTGCCAACCAGGCCATGGGTGATAGGAAAAGCGGTAGAAAAGCGATCATAAGCGCTTTTAAATCCTGACTCTGCCGGTGCACCTCAGGTTGCTCAGAAAAGCACTTATAAGCGGGCACTCTGATTTCCAGTTCCGACCAGGTTAGGGGCAGCATTTAAAAAGCGCTTATGAGCGCTTTTTAATTCCGGGCACTCCCCCGTTCCGACCAGGTAAGTGACAGCATTGAAAAAGCGCTTATAAGCGCTTTCTAATTCTTGCCAACCAGGCCATGGGTGATAGGAAAAGCGGTAGAAAAGCGGTAGAAAAGCGATCATAAGCGCTTTTAAATCCTGATTCTGCCGGTGACCCCAGGTTGCACAGAAAAGCTTATAACTATAAGCGGGTTAAACTGATTCCGTTGACCAGGTTAAGGGAACATTGAAATCCAACCAGATTAAATAAAATCGCTAATGAGCGCTTTAAATTCCGGGCACTACCCCGTTTCGACCAGGTTAGTGGCAGCATTGAAAAAGCGCTTATAAGCGCTTTTAATTCTTGCAACCAGGCCATGGATGATAGGAAAAGCGGTAGCGGAAAAGCGATATAAGCCGTAAGCTTTTAAATCCTAACGACTCTTGCGGTGATAGAGATGTCAAAAAGCGACTTTATCGGACTCATGTTTCAGGTTCACAGGTTATGGGCGCATTTAAACCAAAGCCGCTTATAGAGCGCTTTTTAATTCCTTGGTTCACCCCCTTCGAATCGCTAATGGCCAACCGCTTATCAAATGCGCATCTATAAGCGCTTTCAAATCTAGCGACGCTAGTAGCGCTGTTAAAAAGCGCTTAATAAGCGCTTCAAATTCAAAAAGCGCTTTTTTCTCTGCCGGTGCACCCCAGGTTGCTCAGAAAAGCACTTATAAGCGGGCACTCTGATTTCCAGTTCCGACCAGGTTAGGGGCAGCATTTGAAAAGCGCTTAAGACCGCTTTTTAATTCTGGGCACTCCCCCGTTCCGACCAGGTTAGTGGCAGCATTGAAAAAGCGCTTATAATAAATAAGCGCTTTTTAATTCCGGGCACACCCCTGTTCCGAACAGGTTAGGGGCAGCATTGAAAAAACGCTTATAAGCGCTTTATAATTCTTGCCAACCAGGCCATGGGTGATAGAAAAAGCGGTAGAAAAGCGATCATAAGCGCCTATAAGCGCTTTTAAATCCTGACTCTGCCGGTGCACCCCAGGTTGCTCAGAAAAGCACATGAAAGTTCCAACCAGGTTAAGGGGAATTGAGAAATCGCTTATAAGCGCTTTTAAATTCCGGGCACTACCCCGTTCCGACCAGGCTAGGGGCAGCATCGAAAAAGCGCTTATAAGCGCTTTTTAATTCCTGCTCACCTGGCCATGGATGATAGGAAAAGCGGTAAAAGCGGTGAAATAGCGATGAATTAGCCGTTATAAGCGATTTCTAAAAAACGCTTATAATCGATTATAAGCGGTTATAAGATGTAATATAGCGTTTTCCTGACTCAATTTTAAAAGCGCTTATAAGCGCTTTATTTGCGCTTTACAAACAGCTAAATTGCACCCCAATTATAAGCGCTTATAATCGCTTATAAATGGTTCAAAAAAGCGCCTACGAATCGCTTATCCGGCCAACCGCTTATCCATCCGTTTTTGGCGCCAATCCTACTGGAAAGCCGCTTTCAAATCGCTCAGCGACGCTAGTAAGCGCTTAAAAGCGCTTATAAGCGCTTTCAAATTCAAAAAAGCGCTTTTTTGAATTATGACACCAATTATAGTTGATTATAAGCGATTTTTTTTGAACCGTTTATAATCGTAAAAAAAGCGATTGTTAATGGTTTTTTTTTAAAAAAGCGCCGAAAAAGCGCTCAATAAGCGATTATCGGCGCCGATCATAAAATATCGTTTATGGAAACTTGCCCACATTTCATGAAATAATGATTATTGAACAGTTTGTAGAAAAATTTAAACGAGAAGAATATTTTTCACTTCTTGTACTTACTATTCACAGCTGCCTAAAAAGGTTTACAAAGGGTTCACATTTTGTTTTATCAGTTGAAAGGTTCTTTCCTTCTGAGTAAGAATCTGAAATAAAGCGTTATTATATGATGTAATAACAAAACATCAAACTTTGTTAAATCTTTGAATAGATTTTGAATTTTGTTTAATGTTAAATACATATTTATGAATAATATGTATTTAACATTGAATAATGTTTATAAATGTTTATAAACACAAATATGTCCCACAGTGATGGAGTTATGTGCCTTTTTCAGGATATTCATTACTTATCAATGCCATCAGTGGCGTAACGTTGCCTGTCGGCCCCCCCCCCCCCGCCGAAAAAGCGCTCCCCTGTTGGCGCCCCCTTCCTTAATTTTTCCCCTCCCTAAAATTGAACAAATTATGTAATTTTAGAGAGACGCCGGTAAAATCTCAAAAAAAGTGTATATCTAGAGCAAAACGCGCAGTTTTGCTAGTACTTTAGTTAAGTTTTCGAAATTGTTCCACATTCAAACGACGATTTGGCGCCCCCCTAAGACACCCCCCCCCCCCCCCCCCCCCCGCACAGCGAAAATGCGAAAGTAAATTTGATCACAGTCAAGTTCAAAATAAGTTAGATAATAGCAATGTGTGTTTTAAACAGCAATTGAATTTTAGGAATTCAGCACAAACGAAGTGTTATCACGAAAAAGCACTTTAAAAAGGGTCATTTTTTACTAACCTTCAATTCTCATTAATTGGTTGAAGCTGATATCCTCTCTTTCTTCCTGTTGAACATTCGTATAGTCTTTAATATACAGCATCGTCTTCGTTCCTGGAGTTGGTTATTAATAACTTAAAATAAGAGTAAATTATCAATAATTGACGATATAAAAATCTTCTCGCTTTTGCCATTTGAAATGGAAAGCACCGGATTTCCAGTCAGTTTCTAATATTTGCTAGACAATATCACCAAGCTATCAATGGTGTATGTTATTACAATTGACTAGATTCTACGTATTAAGTATAGGTACGTACCGTAATTGTAGCTGCTGATAAAAGCTGAAAGTAAGTTTAAAAACGAAGGCAAATAGGTTTGCTTTTCTAAGGTTGTTATATATCAGGGCTGGCCATAAACTTCAGCAGTTCAAAACTAATTACAACACTACAAATCTATTACATTTATTGAGTATTATGTAACGCGATGGAAATATTTTAAGCGGGTAATATTATCCTGTCCAAACCCAGGATACATAACATGAAGACTTTGTTGTAACTTTGTATGAGAAGAATAAGCCTAATAATGTTAAAATTTTGTGGATATTGTCATTGATTGAGCAGTTTTTTGGAAGATTTCGACGAAAAAAGTAATCCTCCGCTTCTTAAGTACTTACTGCTCACAGCTCATAAAATTGTCAACAAAGGATTCACATCTTTTCAGTTGAAAGGTTCGTTCCTACTGAGTGAGGGTCTGAAACAAATTGTTATAATATGATATAATAGCAATACATCAAACCTTTGTTAAATCTTTGAATAGATTTTGAATTTAATTTAATGTTAAATAAATATTTATAAATAATATGTATTTAACATTGAATAATTTTTATGAATGTTTAAAAACACAAATATGTCTCACAGTGATGGAGTTATGTGTCTTTTTTCAGGGTATTCATCACTTATCAATGCCATGAAGCTTGTTTCTGTAATCTGTATTCTGAAATGGTGATTTGGTTGCTGAGTGACACATTATTTCTGGTATTGTACATGTAATTTCTGGTAATCAACACGGTTCATGTTCAAAATGTAAAATTTGGTCACAGTTAAATTGAAAATAATTTAGATAATAGCAATGTGTTTTAAATAGCAATTGAATTTTAGGAATTCAGCACAATAGAAGTGTTGCAGTATATGACGAAAAAAAAACAAACACTTTAAGTGGACATTTTTCTTACTAACCTTGAATTCTCATAGATTAATTGGAGGTGATATTCTCTCTTTTTCTTCCTGTTCATCTCTATTCTGTCGACATTTGTATAGACTTTGTACATCATCGTCATTGTTCCTGGGTTTGTTAATTAGTAACTTGAGATAGGAGTAGATTATCATTAGACCTTATGAAGATCTTCTGGTTTTTTTCATTTGAAATGGAAATCACCGGATTTGCGGTTAGTTTCTAATATTTGCTAGACTATATTATCAAGGGTTTATGTTGTAACATTGAGCTAGATTCTACGTACATCTCACGATTGCATTAAGTGTTTTATTTTAATTTAATATATTTATGAAACAAAGTGTTTTACTATGTTATAATGAAAATGCATTCTTTGTTAAATTTTTGAATTTAAATTGATTTTACATTTTATTTTGCTTTGTCAAATGCTGTTGTGTTGAGATCTCAGAGCAGGTTACCTCGATAACTTTTCTGGGGACTTATGGGTATTTGGGTTTCTGCTGTCATACTTTTCCACCCGGAAAACTTAAACATACATTTTCTTATTTAGATATCTAAGTTAGATTGCAGTATCATCTGAGCTATTTGTCATAGTCCATCAACTGTAAGATTAAATAAATCAGTTTTCTATAGTAATATAACCATTAACCAACTCTCCCCCTTACGACATTATTTTACCCCCTTTCGTCGGTTATGCTGATACTGCCCTGGTTGTATGAAGAGTTTAGTTATCCTTTTGTAGTGATGCTATGGTCATTTAGCATATCTGCTTTTACAATTATACCTGTATTTATACACTCGGGTTCATTAAAATCGAAAATAAATTCCGTTCCTGAGGTGCAGGTCACCTCGCTGCTCCCTTTATTGAGAGTTCTGGATTCAATACAATTCACTTCCAGCACGGTTCCTGGGACTACTGGGAACTGTGTTGTTGTTCTGATCGCAGTTCTCCACTCAGCCTTCAGTCCCGTACAGCTCACTGTCGATATGTCATATTAAATCACGTTAAACTGATTAATAAGGGTTATTTTGACGGTTTCTTATGTTCTCTTCCGCAGTTCCGCGATGTAGTTTTCCTGTCCCAACCCGAACCCTTTCAAGCAACCTCAAATATAACTATACTATCGTTTGCTCGGGGGTCCAAGTCTCACATACTGTATACAATTTACCATTCTGTAGCGCAGTTAAATTAAATTTAAAACATAACAATAATATAAGATTTAAAGTTATCTTACCACAGGCAGTTTTGTTAGTGTTTGGTTTCCATCCAGCGTCACATGTCTCACAGCTTGTCATAGCATCATTCCGATATGTTCCTTCCCCACACGACTCTGGAATAATAACGTTATATATTATTACAACTGGTAAATCGTTGTGGAAGATAAGGAAATCGTTATTATATAAGTACACTTCAGATGTGTTTCAATTAAATTAGATTTAAAACAAGAGGTGAATAATTAAATATCCACACAACCACGGTTTTTTTTTATAGAATTATTACCACCCAGACTCTAACGGTTCTTGTCTTTTCGTACCACAAATTTGCCCTCTTGATTCTAAGCCCTAATAATAATTAATAATTTTATTATAATAAAATCTTGTTAACAATCCTTACCACACGTTGTTCTCGCTGAGTTTCGTTCCTGGCCAAGTTCACAAGTTGTACACAAGGCTGCTCCTTCTGAACTGATCGTGTTATCAGGACATTCTTCACATGTGTTCATATCAATGTTCTTGTAGCTTCCAGCTGGACATGGCTCTGAAGAATTAAGAAATCTTTAAGCAGCAATTCGTTTGAACTACCTTATTATTATCGCCTGAACAAACCTGGCACCATCAAATCTTACTCTAGAAACCCCAGAACTCATCAAGCCTAGTCTGAATTCAAAACTAGTTGACCAGCTACGTACAGTTTCCTGGACAACTGGAACCTTTTGGGCCATGCACAAGCCAATAGCATGTATGGTCCTGCAGTGGGGTCTCCTTGTCCTTGGATCTGTGTTTTGATCCGTCTTTTCTTAAAATTTTCCATTTGTGTCACTAAGAATCACCTTTTAAAATGTTAATCAACACCACTGGTCCTAGTTAAATTTAGCCATGGCACGACTACTCGAACGTAACAGTTAAATAGGTGTGACATATATTATATTCTTATAATTATATCATATGAATTGATTGCACTGCTAATAAATAAAATACTTTGTTTTACTAAAAATACTTTGTTTTACTAAAATACTTTGTTTTACTATTATTAAGAAGTTATTGTGAGTACCAATATCCTCGGTTTTCATTCTATAGCTCAGTTAATTAAATATATAAAACACAATAACTTATATTAAATATAAGCTTTAAAGTTATCATACCACAGGCTGTTTTGTCAGAGTTTGGTGTCATTCCATCTTCACATGTCTCACAGCTTGTCATAGCATCATTCCGATATTTTCCTTCCCCACACGGCTCTGGAATTAATAACGTTAAAACTGGCAAATCGTAGTGGAAGATAAGAAAATCGTTATTATATAAGTATTTAAGTACAGTTTAGATTTGTTACAATTACATAAGATTTAAAACAACTAGCAGGAACCCATCTGCCCTAAAGTGGTGTCAAGACTAGAGAGAATAAAATAATTAATACCTATTTAATTCGCGTTTTTGACACCACTTGGGAGTCCAAATTTTGGGCACTAAAATTCTTATTCTTTGGCCAATTTTTAATTTTTTTCATGCTGATTTGAAGGCCATTAAAGCATTTGACCCAGTCAAAAAAGTTTCAGTTGTACATCTTTTAGTTTCAGTTGTATATCTTATACGGTTTTGGCGGAAAGTCGCGTTAAAGTTGATGCCCTGGTGTCAGTAAAATGGCACAGATATATCCATATGTATATATCGTCTCGTTTTATATATAGTAAGATAGGTGAAAAATTAAATATCCACACAACAGCGGTTTTTGATAGAATTATTACCACCAAGACTCTTACAGTTCTTGTCTTTTCGTACCACACATTTTCTTTCTTGATTCTAAGCCCTATCTGGCGCCTTATCCTTATCCCGTCTTAACCCTTATCCTATCTTTGCCCATCTATATAATATAGATATAATCATCTCAGCTCGATTCTTATTAACAATTCTTACCACATTTTGTTCTCCCTGAGTTTCGTTCCTGGCCAAGTTCACAAGTTGTACACAAGGCTGCTCCTTCTGAACTGATCGTGTTATCAGGACATTCTTTACATGTGTTCATATCAATGTTCTTGTATCTTCCAGCTGGACATGGCTCTGAAGAATTAGGAAATCTTTAAGCAGCAATTCGTTTGAACTACCTTATTTAGAAGTTATTGTGAGTACCAATATCCTCAGTTTTCATTCTATAACACAGTTAATTTAAATTTAAAACATAACAATAATATTAAATATAAGCTTTGAAGTTATCTTACCACAGGCTATTTTGTCAGAGTTTGATGTCAATCCAGCGTCACATGTCTCACAGCTTGTCATAGCATCATTTCGATATGTTCCATCCCCACACAGCTCTGGAATTATAACGTTATATATTATTACAACTGGTAAATCGTTGTGGAAGATAAGGAAATCGTCATTTATATATAAGTACACTTCAGATGTGTTACAATTACATAAGATTTAAAACAATAGGTGAAAAATTAAATATCCACACAACAGCGGTTTTTGATAGAATTATTACCACCAAGACTCTTATCTTACAGTTCTTGTCTTTTCGTACCACACATTTTCTTTCTTGATTCTAAGCCCTATCTGGCGCCTTATCCTTATCCCGTCTTAACCCTTATCCTATCTTTGCCCATCTATATAATATAGAAATAATCATCTCAGCTCGGTTCTTGTTAACAATTCTTACCACATTTTGTCCTCCCTGAGTTTCGTTCCTGGCCAAGTTCACAAGTTTTACACAAGGCTGCTCCTTCTGAACTGATCGTGTTATCAGGACATTCTTCGCACGTGTTCATATCAATGTTCTTGTAGCTTCCAGCTGGACATGGCTCTGAAGAATTAGGAAATCTTTAAGCAGCAAATATTCGTTTGAACTACCTTATTAATAATAAGAAGTTATTGTGAGTAACAATATCCTCGGTTTTCATTCTATAGCACAGTTAATTAAATTTAAAACACAACAATAATATTAAATATAAGCTTTAAAGTTATCTTACCACAGGCTGTTTTGTCAGAGTTTGGTGTCAACCCAGCTTCACATGTCTCACAGCTTGTCATAGCATCATTCCGATATTTTCCTTCCCCACACGGCTCTGGAATTAATAACGTTAAAACTGGCAAATCGCAGTGGAAGATAAGAAAATCGTTATTATATATAATAACGATTAAATACTTATATATAAGTATTTAGGTACAGTTTAGATGTGTTACAATAACATTAGATTTAAAACAATGTGTGAATAATTAAATATCCAAACAACCACGGTTTTTTGATAGAATTATTACCACCCAAACTTTTACGGTTCTTGTCTTTTCATACCACAAATTTGCTTTCTTGATTCTAAGCCCTATCTGGCGCCTTATCCTTATCCCGTCTTAACCCTTATCCTATCTTTGCCCATCTATGTAGATATAATCATCTCAGCTCGATTCTTATTAACAATTCTTACCACATTTTGTTCTCCCTGAGTTTCGTTCCTGACCAAGTTCACAAGTTGTACACAAGGCTGCTCCTTCTGAACTGATCGTGTTATCAGGACATTCTTTACATGTGTTCATCTCAATGTTCTTGTAGCTTCCAGCTGGACATGGCTCTGAAGAATTAGGAAATCTTTAAGCAGCAATTCATTTGAACTACCTTATTAATATTAAGAAGTTATTGTGAGTAACAATATCCTCGGTTTTCATTCTATAGCACAGTTAATTCAAATTTAAAACACAACAATAATATCAAATATAAGCTTTAAAGTTATCTTACCACAGGCTGTTTTGTCAGAGTTTGGTGTCAATCCAGCGTCACATGTCTCACAGCTTGTCATAGCATCATTCCGATATAATTTTTCTCCACACGGCTCTACAATTATAACGTTACAAATGGCAAATTTTTGTGGAAGATAAGAAAATCGTTATTATATAAGTATATTAATATCAAGAAGTTATTGTGAGTACCAATGTCCTCGGTTTTCATTCTATAGCACAGTTAATTCAAATTTAAAACATAATAATAATATTAAATATAAGCTTTAAAGTTATCTTACCACAGGCTTTTTTGTCAGAGTTAGGCGTCAATCCAGCGTCACATGTCTCACAGCTTGTCATAGCATCATTCCGATATGTTCCTTCTCCACACGGCTCTGGAATTTATAACGTTAAAACTGGCAAATCGTAGTGGAAGATAAGAAAATTGTTATTATATAACTATTTATTTATTTATTTATTTAAGTACAGTTCAGATGTGTTACAATAACATTAGATTTATAACAATATGTGAAAAATTAAATATCCACATATTCCACGGTTTTTCGAGGAAATTATTGCCACCCACACTCTTACGATTCTTGTAATTTCGTACCACACATTTTCTTTTTTAGTTCTAAGACCAATACTAATTCAAATTGTTATCAGTCAATTCTAAGGTCCCCTCATCCTTTAATGCTAAAAATTCGCCTCATCAGTCATCAACAAACTATGAAGCACAATGCACAATGCACATATTGTGTAAACTCTGCAAAATAAATATTGAACCAAAAAAGTTTTGAGTTTGTTTGGTAAAATACCTTACTGCTTATGTTCAAGATATTTTGTAAAAACGTCAGTTTTCAATTGATAATTGTTTTAACCTTTAGTAGCTGAAAATGGCTTGTCTCCATGATGTCTACTACAAAATATGCAACATTTCTAGATTATAGTTAGCTATTTTGCAATCTGAAAGAACGTTATTTTATCTCATTCGGAGAATAGTAATTTATAAAATTATGACCACTTTATTAAGTTATAAATAACAATATGTGCTAACTATCCTATATCCCATATCCTATAATATATGAGTTCATGTTAAATAACTAAATGGCATACTTGAAATTTTAGACAGAAAACACGTAATCACGAGCTTACGAGAGAATCAGCAAGTTGGCTTATTTGTAAATTAAAGTTATTGTTACTTTGTTAAACCAAAGCTTGCTGTTATTAGTTACCTGGTCCGTAGTAATCAGATGCTGTGTCGGAGGAAGTGAACTCTATCTTTGTCACGTCTCTGTTCCAGACAGCTGTTCCGACACTGCTCCAAGCCACTGTAACTACACGTTGATGAAGAGAGCAGTATGCTGAGCACCTCTACCTCGTTACAGTGTATCACTAGTCTAACACCTGCAGTTGTGGTGAGAGTGATACGCCACACCTTGTCAGCAGTAGAGGGGGGTTTAACAGGGAAGTTAGTCCAGGATGTGCAGTAGCTGAGGTAGTATTTTGGAGTAGAGGTGAAGTAGAGCGCTACTCCTCCTGCAGCTCCCTCAGCTGAGTAGAAGTACACATGCACCTCATCGTTACTCCCCAGCACACTATTAGTTCTAATTTCTAAAGGTGTCGACTCAAGATCCCACTCTATTTTCACCTCACGTTTCACTGGTAACCAACCTGTTAATTGTATTTTTAATTCATGACTACTGAGCAACGATTAATGAATATCATGAATTTAAAGAAGAGGTGTTCTAGCAAAATTGTAAAGGAATTGTATGAATGTCGCCCATAGTTTATTCTCAGAATTTAAGAGCCCGACCATACTATGACTGTTGTCACCATGACTGTTGTCATGGTGCGGTCAGATTTAATGACCATATGTACGTAGTGTGTTTATAGGGCGTGCCAAGGATACGTGACAACTCCTCAGGCACTCGACTTTTCAAAAGCCGTACCTAGCTGATAATCCGTGCCTGACGTGACTGCAGGCACAGTCTATTCAGTACTTGTGCCAACTGTCATGGATAACGTGACGTCACGATTACCTAATAAGGTCAATATTTTGCGTGATATGGACATTTGCAGTGCAGAGTGCAAAGATATTACTATAGTACAGACACTCAGACAGATCCGTCTAAAAAAATCGATCTACTGACAGAATAAGCTTCCAACTTTTCCAAAATTGTCCACGTGTCTTAAGGCCACTTTTTGCCACTTTTACCATTTTTAATTTTTTACCTCCTTTCTTGTTTGTCAAATATCTTCAGCTGTGAACATCGTAGAAGGATACGAATTAATAAAGGGTAATTATCATATCGACGAGAAAAACTTTTGTAAGACAAATGTTCATGTCAGACAATTAGATAATTGGATAGTTACTGATTAGCAAGTAACCAAAAATCATAAAAATGTTTACTGGCTCAAAATGATCGGAATTTCTTGAAACACTGGGAAAAGTAGTATAGGTAGTTTTTGAAAAAACTTTCGAAAATTTAAAGATTTTTCCCGCCAAAAGTTTTTTCGAATAGAAGTTCTACTGAAAGCATCAAACCATGGTTCGGTGGCCGAACTGCATCCGACTGAATTGTTCCCCACTGGGAACCAGATTGGTCCCCACTGGGAATCGAACCCCAGTCGTCCGTTTGTGAAGTAAATGTATTAAAACCACTAAACCACCCGGCCGACGTGACAGCACTCACATTTTACTATTTTCATCCCAATTATCATAGTATGTTTAGAGATCGAGCCTAAAATCATGACAAATGGCACAGTGTGTTAAGAGGCCGTGTCTTTACTCGTGACAACAGTCATAGTATGGCTCTTTCTTCCTTTTCCCATAGGTAGTATATAAATTTGCGAAATTTGTGACTAAAATTATGGTATTACCAAAATGTTTGTAACCAAATTTATTGTGAACCAAATTTATTGACCTTAAAGTTAAGGTATACTTTTATGCGATACATCGCATAAATATCATTATGGTAAACTTTTAATCATTATATTATGTAATCATTTGATTTAACCTGTTATCCGGTTTGCAGGAACCATGTAATTCAAATTTTTCCCGATTACTTCATTTCCTGATTACTTCGCTGCCTGTTAGGTGCCTTGCCGTCACTCGAGAAGGCAGCAGTATTTATGCGACCAGCTCTGTAAAACAATTTCTTACAACGACATATTATGCTATCTTTTATAATCCAATATTTTAGAACTTTACACCTTGTTGTATTTGCGAAAGATCAAAGCATACAGACTGTTACAATGCTGAAAAACATCAAACTTTTTTTCCCTAGAGCGTTAATTGTATTGACGGAGGTCACTAGTATCAAGATCTTAGTTTTAAGTTATATCTAAACAAAACACTTATTTAACAATAGATGTATCTCCAATCAGATAATGTAACTACACAAGCCACAGCAATTAAGTCTATGATATGTAGGCTGAGACATCTAGAAAATGCCGTTTTGAGTATAAGTTGTTAACTCAGAGTCAGACCCCTGTTTGTTTTAGCTGTTAGATTTAGCATGAAGCAAACAGAATAGTGAATTACCGAGAATTAAACAATTTGAACTTATTGTAGTGACACCAGATTGATTTTCAATGTTATCATTTAGGTCTTGATTCTTTTCTGTTTGATCCCTGTCACCCTGTGATCAATTCAAAGATAATACTTTCGACACTTGCACTTCTACTGGATAAAATTCACCTCATTGGACACACTACCTACAGCTCTTATCCCGACGTACACTAAGTATCAGCCCGAAAGCAGCTCAAAAAGATTTCTACTGAGTTTGATTAAATTTAATGTAGTAAACCTAAATTCGTTACAATTTGCAGGCCGTGAATAAATGGGGAAAACGAGCGACCGATTACATTCCCGGTATCATTTTGCATAAATTTGAGAACGGTAACTTAAATTGATCTTAAATACTTCCTTTGTGTCTGGAAAAAGGAGATACGGTAGATGGTCCAATCTACCCAATTTTTGGTTTTGGTGAAAAGTATTTAATACTATAATTATCTCATTTCAACGGGTATAAGTGGTACTATTTCTATTTTCTATAACGATAAATTATTGATCTATTTTTGATCAATGATAAGTAAAATAGCAGCTCATGCATGCGCATGCATGCACATGTTACGTAGCTTACCACAGAGAGATAGCGAGATGATTTGTAGGAATATTAACTTCGTTTGAAGATTCCGCATGTCTACCATTCTACATTGTTAGAAAAATCGATGTTTAACTTTAAACGAAATATCAACAACTGAAGATTGAGGAAAGTACATAATACAAGTTTACTAATTAACTCGCCAGAGTGCTATCACGTGATTTAAATGAATTTGTGGATTTGCAGCCGAATGAAACGGTTTTATAAACCCTAATCCTATCCAGTAACCATGACCCCGAAGCTGATCACTATGACCGTAATTCATGTTTTACAAGCCTGTCGTGTGACCAAAACAGTTTTTGTCGATAACTTCTAGGGCAAGCGTTTCAACCCTATACATTTATGATTTATAGCAACCCTATATATTTATAGCAGGTAATTCGGAGTCAGCGTCCAAAATACATCGAACGAAGCTTATACTATTGACATTTTACATACTTTCATGGCCGGGCTCTTTCCTAAACGTTTCAAATATCATCGGCGAGTGATAACTAGCAGAAAGCCCATACTCTACACCATTCTGCCCTCCTCTAAAGACTAAATAAGCGGGTCAACAATCACCATATTGCGATTAATTTTGTGATTAAATAATTTTAATCTTATACCTTTCTAGAGGTAAACATCATATTATATGATACTAGAAAACCGGCCGTGGTCACAGGGAAGAAGCTAATAGTATTTTTTGTTAGTAAGTTTAAATCGAGTCAAAAAATATCCTACTCAACCGAAGATACAGCCGATTAAAATGTTGCTCGCACTAAACACAACGTAATATCAACAAAACCGATAAAAATGCCGTTTTAACAATCTTTGCACGTGCACGTGCGTGTAACAACCCTCGTTATCCTGGTTACTGTGCAACCTTTTACTTCTTACCTAATTTACACGTGGGCGGTCGTACAGACATTGTACAAACAAAGATAATTCTCTGAATTATTATATGACTAGAAAACCCGTGGTCACAGGGAGGAAGCTAATAGTATTTTTTGTTAGTAAGTTTAAATCGCGTCAAAAAATATCCTACACAACCGAAGATACAGCCAATTAAAATCTTGCTCGCACTAATGACTAAACACAACGTAATATGACAAAACCGATCAAAATGCCGTTTTAACATTCTTTGCACGTGCACGTGCGTGTAACAATCCTCGTTACCATGGTAACTACGCAACTTCCTATTTGTCGTCTGATTTGCACGTGGGCGGTCGTACAAATGACAAACAAAGATAATTCTCTGAATTACAAGTAAGATATAGAGGCAACAAAAGGTGCATTCAAAAGAAAAAAATGGTTCGGCTCTATCACAAATTTCATCTTGCATCTTAGGGGGCGCAAAAATCATTGATGTTAAGTACGCCGAAAAACCAGTCGAAAATACGCCGTTTGTCTAAATTCTAAGACATACGTGAAATACGGCACATTTTGCAACTTTAGAAAAAAAAGTTTGATGCTAAATTTTGTCCAAATACGCTCGTATGCCGTACGTTTATAAAATACGCTACGTACTTAACATCCTTGGCCAAATTTTCGTTTGAACGTGGAATAATTTTGAAAACTTAACTGAAGTACTAGCAAAACTGCGCGTTTTGCTCTAGAAACACACTTTTTGGAGATTTTTACCGGCGTATCCTCTAAAATCACCTAATTTGTTCTATTTTAGGGAGGGGCGCCAAAAGGGAAGGGGGTATCAACAGGGGGCGCTTTTTCGCCGCCAATAGGCAACGTTACACCACTGATTCAAGTGCGACTTATTCGACATATTATTTGCGACTTAATAAGACCATCATAAATTGGCAACGTGGCTATGGACGGGATGGTATTCAATGTGATCATTTGCATTTTGCGGCGAGGTAGTGCAGTGGGGAAAAAAAGAAACCATATTATATTACAAATGTTTTGAATTGGCTTGCTTAAAAGTTGAAGACTGACAGCTCATAAAAACCATACTCAATGCCAAATTCCAATGAGTGGTAAAGCTTCTAGAATTTTCTATCACAAAACAGAGCGACCAGTGGGCCTAATGGCATTATCCTGCTCGCTGCGTCTTTGGTGTTCGTTACCAAAATCAGTTGTTATCGATTTTACCCGAGAGAAAACGTCCGCGGTAAATTTAGATTTCCAGAGAGCGGGAGTTAAAACCAAACGTCAGGCACAACTCTAACTCTCTAAGAGAACTCTGGCCAGGTTTGTGTCCGGACATTGGGAGAGGGACAAATCTTAATATGCTAAACTAATGGTAAGCACCCATTAAAATAGGATAAACTATGCTCATCCACATAGGATTCCTTGTCCAAACGTTGACCGTTTAGAGCTGATTTGCATTGCCAACTTGGAGATTCTTTTCGAAAGTGGTTCGTTTCGGGCTGGGGCATTGGGAGAGCAAAGAGGGACAAATCTTCATATGCTAAACTAATGGTAAGCACCCATTAAATTAGGATAAACTATGCTCATCCACATAGGACTCCTTGTCTAACGGACGGCTAACTTTAAGAGCTGCTTTACTAAGAAACTTGGTACCTTGAATTATTGAAGTGGTGGAATTGCCGGCCCAGTCTACAAGACGCAGCTTACTGTACTAAGAAACTTGGTACCTTGAATTATTGAAGTGGTGGAATTGCCGGCCCAGTCTACAAGACGCAGCTTACTGTACTAAATCCTTGATATGGAAGATAATTGTGTCCTTTAAGAGTTCGGGTGATCCTGTAGAATTGCAGTTCACTCTATAATATGCAGAGACCACAGTCCAAACGGTATATATCTAACTATGGTCCAGTTGGCAGTTACGAAGGTTATTTTGATTGTTGATTGGGACTGGCCAAAAAGTGCTAACCAATGTTAACGGAATAAAAATTTAATGCACAATTACTATCTGAGTTGTGAAATTTCTGAAATCCTACACACCTAATATTATTTATTCATTATCTTTTCTTAATCTTATTATTGTAAGAAAAGATAATGAAAAAATGATAATATACCTACAATTCTACGTGCTTATTGTCACAAAATCTTAATTTATCTTTTAAAGTAAAAGAAAATAATCTGAACATTAAGATTCTAACGAGCCAGTTAGTAAAGACAGGAAAGGTGTGCAATGGGAGAGCCAAACTCGCAAGATTCGTCGAATTATTATATGTTATACTTATAGGTACTCATTTTGTGTCATTTCCTTGTAGCCCAATGCGATTGTTTAACTTTAACTTTAAGATTTATGAAGACTTATGTAATTACAGATAGTGTCATTTCCTTGTTGCCCAACGCTAATGTTTAACTTTAAGATTTATGAAGACTTATGTAATTACAGAGAGTAGCAGAGAATTTTTGCGTGTGGCTCAAATTTTTCGGAAACAATCAAAAAGTTATAATACTTCCCATATAACAATTTTGTTGAAATTTGGACAGCTTACGTAAACACTTATGTTCTACTGAACCTAAATTAGTTTGAGCAATTTCAATGGTCAGAATTTGAGTTATCAACGAATTTATACCTATTTTGTCATTTTTAGACCTCTTAATTAAGGTCAATCTCTCCCAACTAATTTAGGTTCGGTAGTTAAGTATGATTGAAAGGTTCTGACAAATTTTCAGCATGATTCATATACAGGAACCGAAGATATGACAGAATAATACGACAAAAATAAACAAATTTCGTCAAATTACGCCACTTTTATACCTAATTTTTGATCCAAAAGCCGTGCACCATCAAATATGGCACCTAGGCGAAACTCACTGATCATTCCAAAAAGGTATGACAAATTTGGTACTGTGAAAATTCTCACAGTCTCTAGAAAACAATGGTACAAAATTTTTGAAAATCCGAGTAAGTTTGTTTTTATCGTGCACCCCCTACTAAATTGATGAAATAGAATAAATTGTAACCAGATGGAAACCTGTGCAACAGTCGTCAAGCACTTGCTCTATCCAGAGCCCTTGCGCTTGCAGTGTTTACTTGTGAAACAAGCTCGCCCGCAGTGGCGCGAAAGCACATGGTAAGGTGAAGTCAAGCACCAAAAACTGGTTGCTATGCCTGTAATTAATAAACACATAACTGGCGTCACGCGCGCAAAATAGACTCCTTTTATACCCATAATTATAGGGGAGTGGTTTATATTGTGAGTAAAACCGATTTACCGCGGAGTTCAGGGGAAAAGAAACATCCGCGGTAAATCGGGGTTTTGTTTGGTTTACATTATGTTAATGAATGTTTAGTCCTATCACCTATTTGGGGGAAGTAGGTAGTGCGCCATCGACAGTGAGCCGCGCGTGCCGACTGTAGGATCAAGGATGGTTTTTTAGCGCTAATTTCGGCCAGCACAATTTTCTTCAAACAAATAGATATTAAGTATCCTTCCCGACCTCCGATTGCAACAAAAAATGGTAAGCTTACTCATAGACTTACAAGGAAAGTGTCCGAAAAGTTTAAAGCATATCCAACCATCAGAAATTATGTTACAGCTAAAAGCAGCGTATTTTGCTCCATTTTGATCACTATATCAACTCCGATATCCACCAAATTTTTCGGACAGTTGTGAAAGCCCTATTGGAAGGTCGTCGCCAATTTTCAGAATGATCTCATTCAAGGAACTGAAGATATATCCAAATAATACGACAAAAATCAACGAATTTGGTCAAATTTGGTCAAATTACGCGACTTTTACAGCTACTTTTGCTCCAAAAGCCGCGCACCATCAAATATGGCACCTAGGCGAAAATCACTGATTTTTCTAAAAAGGTATGACAAATTTGGTATTGTGAAAATTCTCACAGTCTCTAGAAAACAATGGTACAAAAATTTTTAAAATCCGAGCAAGTTTATTTTTATGGTGCACCTCCTAGGGAAAGGAAATGTCTGCAGTATATCGGTGTTTGCGGTAAATCGGGGCAAATTATGAAATTAAGAAAATCGTGATTATTTAAGCCAAAACTCTCCACAACAACTTGAACTAGGCACAATTGCGGCAAAAATTTTGAAAACCGCGGCGAATTCGCAAAAATTTCCACGGCTCTTCAAGTTCAAGTGAACAAGTTGTTCTTAGGCACGTGATTCAGGAACAAGTAGTCCTTTACCTGGGGACCCCAGGCTATTAGTATTATATTTATGTTCATTATCATAGAGAATCAGAATAGAGATTAGGCGGAATGACAAGCTGAGCGCCGCCCAGTAACTGTAAGCCCGCCCAAAACTTATCACGTGACTTTAGTTTTTATGGCTAGTGGTAAACACGGCTTACGAATTGTAATAAAGCTTATTAAATGGGAAAAGCTAGCGACCGATTTCATTCTCG